CGTAAAGTAGGTCTTGCTGTAAAGCGTCAGCAGGCTTTCGATATTGTCCCACAATACCATGCAAGGCCTTGGTAGGTCCATTCATTGCCAGAACCAACTGTTGTGCGTAAATTAGAGTTAGAGTCCATGATTATAGATTATAGTATTATAGCTATGGCAGCTTATGGTTGATTCTAAGAGAACACCGGCCGTCAATCAACAGACTTTGCCGGTGTAATTCTGAGTCTAAGTCTAAGTGTTACTGTTACATACTGTTACAGTGGTGCGTGTATAGTAACGTATAGTATAGTATAGTATAGTATAGTATAGCCGTATAGCCAAGCAGCATTTGCAACCTTTGCTTGCAATTGGACAAAGTCTGTGCCCCAACAGGCGTGACACACATGCTGGCAGCTGCGAATATAGCGGACTTTGTCTGGAAATTCTTCAGACTTGGGACCAGCTAAGAACTGGCATGTTCGCGACAGGTTCTTCGCAGCATCCTTAATGTGAACGCCCCTGCATCTCAATGACAGCAACGATGTGAACACAGCAGTTTCTGAAATTGGCCATGGATCTAGAGTACTTGATCTGCTAATCCTTACAAGCCCACCTTCCAAGTCTGAGATGCAGTCTGACAGGTGCTCCACCCGAAAATCAGAAGCAACGGAAATGTTCAGGGCGGGTGGCCGCAATTTCAAGATGGCTTCAGCTGGAATGCTTTTGGAAGAAGCAGTATGAATATCATCAACACCCACTGATACTTCTTTCCCTGAAGCAGTGTTTGGCTTGCGCTTTGCTAGGCACCGCTTGGTGTTCAAACACGATGCCAGCTGTTGAAAGTGAACTCTTTGTCCTGGAGCCAGATCATCAAATGCTGTTTTAACCTCTTCCCATGACGCAGCATTCACCCAATTCTGCTTCACGCCAGCGAGCCCTTTTGATGCGATGTACTGTCTCCTGAATACCCCTATAGGGCTGTCTTTCGCATTGGTGTTCTTCTTGACAAGAGCTTCACCTGCACCATTCTTGTGGTCCGTGTCAAGCTTGCGCTTCTCCACACCAGATGATCTGACCTGTTCTCCAAGTTTCTGCCACTGTCGTTGGAGACTCAAGTACAAATGACGGGCTTCATCAGCAACGCTGTTCGTCATTAAGCTAATGAAACTCAGATTGGTTGCATTCGATGCCAAAGCTTTGTGATGGCCATGCTTCCTCTCAGCATCTGCCACAGTGCAGGTCGCAGCCGTGGCTAGTGCAAGAAGAACTGCTTGCATCCTTGGCCGTGCAACGCTAGAATCTAGAATCTAGAAGAACACTCAAAATAAAAACCAAAAAATATGGCGTTCCTGGCATACATGTGTGACTGTGTGTATGCCTATGCCTATGCCACTGTCACTGGATTGAGTATATGCATTAAAGAGTGCTCGCTACACTACACTAAAACTACACTACACTATTTGGCCCTCCCCATGTTTCTACACCAGAGTTCTACTACTGTCAAAGAGTAAAGTAAAGGAGTCGAGCTGTTGCAATCACACAATCAATGAATATATTGATATTGAATGAATATAGCTTTCACGCTTTTGACTTTCGGTTCTGGGCCAAAGCCAAGGCGCTTTGGTAAAAGAAGGCCTGCCCCATCCAATCCACGCTCTTTGAGCTTCCTGGCCAATCCAGGTCTCAGGCAACACGCAGATGTCTGATCCCATTCTGCAATGAGTGCATTCTTCCTGTTTGCAGATGCTTGTGGGTCAGCTAGAGCACATAGGGCCCAGGGCATGTCAAACAGTCTATCTGAGTGGCGTCGTTGCACCCATGAAAGAGCAAGCAACACCAACCTCCGTAGAAATCGTATTTGGTCAGGTCTCTTCTCCTCCCACTCACTAGTGGTAGCATGACCTTCACGGCCAAATATCAGCACCAAGCGAGGACTGTCACATAGCAGTAAAGAGCTCAAGTATTGGCACACAGCTGTTAGTGGGGAGCGCTCGGGATTCGAAATTGTGAAGAGCCGTGGCTCAGCTGTGTCGCCTCGTAAGAACTCTTGCACCAAAAGTCGCACCGCCTCATCTACGATGAAAAGGACTATGAGTTTGGTCCCCAAAAGGGTGCCCTCACAATCAGCAATCAAGTCTGCGACCTTCTTAGCTCTCTTGCCCGTGATACGGGCAAACTCCTGAACACTTGCCAAAGCTGGATCCAGGTCCTCCGCACCCTCCTTGTCAACTTGGGAGATTTTCAAAGCATCAAGCCACTTGTGGACAGTCGCTGGCAGAAAGCTCTTGCAGCACAGGCCAAAGACCTTGCTTGGACAACCATGAATTGTGATTGAACCTCCCGGCTAGACTGAGACTCTCAATTTCTTGGAAGGAAACATCAGTCATATTAGGACCTTAGGAGGCTAGTACGTAGATTTGCACAGATGTTCACAAAGGTTTTCCTAAAGTTTCTTTTTAGCAATCTTAACTTCAAATGTCAAGCGGAAGACAGTACTAACAACACAATCAATCAAGGTGCTATGAATGAGAGACTGCTCCATAATTTAGTCCATTTCCCCGGCGCGGGAACGTCTGGAATGATGTCCAGTAAAATGGCAAGTAGGCTGTTTGACATCTTCTTCTTGCTCTCTGCATCTGTGGTGCAGCACCAGGTTGATGTAGGACCTGACCTGAAGCATACATGTTCGTACCGTGGATTGGTGGAAGTTAGGTCGCAGCCACCCCACATTTTCCTGAAATCTTTCAACTTGCGCTCAAATCCACCTGTCTTTTGCTGGTTGTCACCATCAGGCATCCGAACTTGCGACAAACATGCTCGAACTTTGCAATGGATGTCCAAGAGCTCTTCAAAGTAGGCTTTTTGCATGGGAAGCATTAATGAATCTTCATCTTCATTGCTCATGATTCGGACGGTAGTATTCTCTTGGATGTGCTCTGCAACAGCGTGCTTGACCTTTGTCCAATGGGAGGAAGCACGCAAAAAATGCGTCAAGGAAAAAAATCTGAAATTAGCCTTGGATGCGATGATCCGACCAGCGAAGTCTCGCACAGATTGGCTTGGTGACTGTGGCACACCATCCACTCCCTCAAAGTCGTGTCCTCCTGGGCCTCAGAAAGATTTAGTCGATGGTTGTATAATCTCTCATTGGCAGATGCACTGTCTGTCTCTTGCAATAAAATCGTTTCTTCTGCACAGCCCATGATAAGACTCTCAAACCTCCTGATGGAATACATCATAGGGTGATGCTCCAAGCAATAGTACCTCAGCTGCTCATGAAAGTCTGGGTTCTGGATCCCCGTCACGCTTTTTGATGCTGCTGCAACACATCCAGCTCCAGGTGTAGTGTATTGTGGTTTCTTTTCTATATTTTTAATACTTTAATCTTTAATACATAAGTCCAATACTTCATTTTGCAGACCATGAAAAGCTGAGGCACAGTCGATCCGCCGAAGGTGATAACACAAGAAGAGGAGGGCAAATAATGGGGAACTTCACCATGCGAAGCGGGCTTCCACTCCAGACAATTACAAGTGTGTGCTTTAGCACCACTATCTGCCATGCACCCTTTGTGTTGTTGACGCAGATCAGCTGCGATGTCTCGTCAAAGCATTCTCTGAGAGCTACAACGACTGGTTTCTCCCGATTGCACAGACAGTAGAGCTTTGCCAGTGTATTGGACTGCTTGGCAAGAACGCTGCCAGCCACCACACATCTCATTGCTGCAATGTAGCTAGGTGAAATCCCCATTGACAACCCTGTTGCATTGCAGCCCATGATGCGTTTGCCTCGTTTGCGATCCTTCCCAAAGGTGGCCTCCAAAAAGTCGGCCATACTATATTTCATAGAATAGCGATTGCCACCGCTTGACTTCAGGTAGCTCATCTTGACGAGGCTATCCTTGCGAACAATGCTGCCTGAACGATCTCTTCGAATTTGGATTGCTTTGTCTGACTTGGAAACTTTCCGAAGACTACAGAGCATCTTGAGTACATCCATCTCAGTTCTAATCTGCTTTTTCTTGGCTTTTGCCAAGTGCAAGCTCAAACTCCATGCTTTGCGTTCATGGACTTCTCCCCGACTGTGAAGGCCCACCGCTCCCTTTGATGCAACCCTGCACCGCGGCTTGGGCCCAACTACTTGCACAGCTTGATCCTCCTTGCGCTCAGAGGAGGCAATAGGTTGAGCACTGATGACAGCAGGTTGAACAATAGCTTCAACTGGAGCAGGTTGAACAACAGCTTCAATGTCCAACTCTTGATCGAATATGTCCAAATAGTCCATGCCGTTCCATGCCCTCCATGAAACCGCCTCCCTGGCCCTAAATGGAGCTTGTCTCTGCCGTGGGCATTTGGTGTGGTGAATGTTTTTAAAAAAAGCTCTAGACTGGTCCACAAAATAATCAAGGAGAGCATTTTGCACAACTGTCTCACAAACTTTGGTGTGGCTGTTTTTGGTCAGCGCTACCTTTGTCCAACCACATTCCTGTCACTCATGAGTCACCTTGAGCCTTGTCATTGGATTCAGCCCGAAGTCTGACTAGCAGGTCAAGGCGTTCCAAAATTGCCAACCACCTAAAGCAAAGGACACAGAACATCGTGGCAAATGATGGAGGTCACTGTGGCAAATGACACAGGGAAGCGTGGCAAATGACACATGGCAGTGTGGCAGATGAGTGGTAAATGACACAGGCCAACGTGGCAAATGACACAAGGCAGTGTGGCAAATGAGTGGCAAATGACACAGGCCAACGTGGCAAGTAGTGTGGTAAATGACACAAGGCAGTGTGGCAAAAGAGATGTGAAAGCGTGGCAGCAGTGTGGCAGCATAAAAGGTGGGTACGCTTTTGGTGTGGCAGCAGTGTAGGCAGTACCACATGTCTCGTACATCTTTTGGAAAGCAAACGCGTCCATAACTTGATAGAACGAATCTCCAACACATGAATGTTCGGAGATCCATTACCATCCATGACCTGGCCTCACCAAAACCATGGAGCAAACCGTCACCGGGCAGTTGGTGTCCTGTCGGATGTAGCACCGTCGCTCGGTCAACAGTTCGCCAAGGAAGCTGAGCTCCTGCTGAAGGGTCGTGACCTCCTGCACGTGAAGGCTCGCAGCGGATGCGAACTCGGTGTGCAGAGGCGGAGGCCATGGCCAGTCAGGACTCTTCGGTCCAGACATGGGCACTTAGATGTGAACCCCACAGCTCTCATTCATGTCCTGTTGAAGTGCCAGACTCTATAAAAGTAAAGGAACATATTTCGGCGTAAGAGGACAGCTGTGGGCTTCGAGCCCTCAAAAAAAAAACACCAAACGACACCTTTGACCAGTCTGTGGAGCTGAGATCTGTCAAAAAGGACCTAAAAAGCGCATCGGTTGGAGCATCGCGGTCGGACGCATCCAGCGGCGTGGTCCTTGACCATCGTGGTCACATCCGGATGGTGACGGGTCAGAATCGAGTCACTGTTCATCCACGTCTAGACATCATATGTCCTGTAGAATTGTAGATGGTTAACAAGAATCAAAAGAAAGCAATATTATCAATGAATGCAGTTTTATACATAAACTGATGATTGTACAACCTCTCCATCGTACGGGGCGGGTGATGTATCCACCGTCTGCATGATGTTTCGGGGCGTCAACTTACTAAAAGCGCCCTTCTTGGCAGCAGTATGGCAGTACCTCACATCAACCACTGAATACCACTGAGACCCTTTCACTTCGCTCTTGGGGGGGGTTGGTGACACTGCAGGGCATGCTTGACTGCCTTATCCCGCAGTGATGCATCTCAAATCCCGAGGCTTTCGGGGAGCGGTCAGGCTGTGAACGGAGCGTTTGGGTTCACCAAATCTGGCGCTACACTATGACACCACAGTCTCGATCAAGAAGGGTCAGCTCAGCTGAGTATGTCAGGTGCGTTTGCGGACGCTTCGTCGGCCAACACCTTCCTTCCAGAAAGCTACCAGGGTGGAGGCCATCGCGGGTGGTGCCGTGCCTCTCAGCGCCCCTCCCTTCTTCCACCCACACCTCACTCCCGGCCCGCAAGCGCCGCGCGAGGCGGAGCGCTAGCCTGGCGGTTCGAAGGACCGGTCTTTCCATGAATCGAAAAACTCCAAAGCCCAGCGACCCAAATCCTCAACAGGTCACCACCTGCGACTGGTCAAAAACGGCTTTGTGGAGACCTGTAGAGTCGAATGCTGGTAGAATTGCCATGAAATGTCATCGATTCCCACAAAGCTATACTCTTGTGGTGGGCGTCTCCCTCCAACCTATGTTGTGCCACCTCAACAATCTGATCTCTCGGGAAAGGGATGGTCTATAAATGAATAACATGTTGAATTGAAAATAAAGCTGGTGTTCGATGTTCTCTTTCAACAGACCTTTTCCATCCTTTTCCATCTTTTTCCCCAAAATAGACCACTTGAGCTGAATCAAATGTTTCATTCCGGTCTGCCAGATGGAACATGGGCACCATTTTGGGGGGCACCAAACTGGGACCAAGACTTCGAGCGTTGGTTCAAACCATCCTCACTGCCCAGGCGAGATCGGACGACTATCTGACTATCCAAGTGATCTGATCTAGTCTTTCAGCGTCTACTCTCCAGGAATCACCCCCACATCCACGGCGTTCATGCGAAACAGAAGGGAGATCGAAAAGTTCTGGTCGTCGGGTCGTGCGTCTCACATCTCGCTTTTCAGCCTGATCCTGAAAACCTATGTAATTGATTGGTGTTTTTGTATGATCCAGTAAAATGAGACCCTCCAACAGCTCACCACCTGCCACCTTTTGGAGACCTGTAGAGTCGGGTGTTGAGAAGAAGGGCACAGGACACAGGAAGTTGGGCATCTTCGGTCAAGGAGCTCAGCCGCCCTGCGAGCTTGAAGTTGGCGCCCGGACAAGAGGGTCACCTGAAGTCAGTTTCGGTCCCTGTCCCTCGAAACGTTGAAATTGGAGTCCCCAGACCAGGGCCCTGAGTCTGGAAGTGCTGCTTGTGCGAGGGCACAATGGTCAAGTCTGAACGAGCTGCAAATGTATCGGGGAAGGATGCCAGAATGTCCTGGCTTTGGGATCTTTGTGTCCGATCCACCCTCAGTCAGTGACTGTCCAGATCCCGAGGATGTTAACCCCAACAGGCCTGTAAAGGGTCGCTTAGAAGATCGGATTCAGAACCTTCAGACCTAGACTCGCAGGTTCCGGTGAAACTCAGTCCCTCCATCACTCTCGGACTCCATGGGCACCGATGTCTCTCGAGAACACACATCCTCAGTCTGTCTGTCCCGGACAGAGAAACGCCCCGAAGCGCCGCGAAGTGGCTGCCAGGGCATGGCAGAGCACTGCTGAGGCTTTGTACGTGAGGTAGGGGTTCAGTCGCAGAAGATCCTCCTGGACACACATGCATAACCCCCCGCGCGCCGCGCGCATCTGCACGCACACATGCCGTGCCGTGCTTGCGCTGTCAGAGGATCAGATGTGAATCATCGACGGTTCCCTCGACCTCGGGTTTTTCCGGAGACTTTGGAGGTCAAAGTAACCCAACTTGATCCCCTGGTGAGGGTCACTGCCTGGAAAAGGTCACTGCAGAAGACTTGAACGAAAGGTCAGTTTGAAGCTCGAAGTTACCACGTACATTGCAAAAATTGGAATCCGGTTTTGTCACATTCAATCAGCTGGCTACACAAGCGGTTCTGCTTCGGACCCTGTGCCATCAAGCTCGGGCCAATCCAATTCAGGCCACCATAGCAGGAAGGGTCATGGGGAGATTCTCGGTTTTTGGACCCTGCGTGAAGCCTGTATGACTGCATGCTCTGTCTGGACCTTCTAGTGTAGACTCTTCACTACTTATATTTCAACCCCGCATGTGAAGAGGGGTCTTTCTATCCAAATGGGAGGGTCATCAATCAAGACTATCAAGAGTATATACATGTTCGCTCCTTCAAACCCTCATGGTCTCCCCCATCCAGGCGGAAAGAGCCGCACGATGGGCGGTGCCTCTATCCGCGTCCGCGTTTCGCGTCCGCGGTCTTCAGGCAGCTCCTGTGCTTTGGAGCTCACGATGCAGCTCATGGCATAGTTGAAGGTCACGTGTTGCTCCAAACGGCACCTCGGACGCTCGCCTCATCGCCGTCGTCTCGAGGCAACGGACGAGTCTCCAAGGTCGGCACAAATCCCGCTGCAGCTTGAAGTCGAAGACCTGCGCCGGTCGCCGGTCTGTGTGGCATTGTTTGGGGTTGCCAAAAGCCTTCCAAGACCATGTATCAATGGTTGGCGTAGTCGAAAACCATGGTGATGGTTGTTGGGCAAGAACCCTTAAATCAATGGTTGGAATCTGCAGAATCCCAGGTTGTCCGTGCTCAGGTTGTTCCGGAGAGCCATCATCTAAACCAGCACCCAGAGACCTGAGCCTTGTGAGTCGGAACTGTCATTCACCATGTCATCACCAAGTCCCTGAGACTACCTTTGCTTCACCAGCGCAAACCACCGGGACTTCTCCGTAATGCTCTGGTGGGTTGACCGGAGAGGTCGTCTGTTCTGTTCAAGTGTTCTATACCAGGACCCTTGAAGGGGTGCCCAATGGAAGCCTATAGGTAGTGTGGGGTAGTCCATTGGACACCCCTTTGGAGGGGGTCCAGGTAGAGGTATATTGCTGGGCCGAACTTCGCTTGGAAAGTTCCAGCCTCCTCACTCTCGGGCAGCCCATTGGCGTCCGCCAGCATCGTCTCGATGGCCTCTAGAGTCCTGGCGGCCGCTTTCTGGGCGCCCAGCTCACCCGGTGTGGACGCACACCCTTGTGGAGCCAGCTGTATCGAGTCCGGGGTGGTTCAAAGGGAAGGTACGTCAGGGGTGTCGATCAACCCACTCTGGGCCCGCCGTGGTGCATTGGTGGTTCACGATTGGGGGGCATTCATCAACCAACCGAAAAAAAGCCATCTATGGCGGCTCCACCCTGCCAAATCCAAAGAGGAGCAGGGTGAGGACCCTTCCCCTATCATCATTCAGAGTTCAGGACCGATTTTCGGTCGGAGCTGAAGTGTAGAGGGTCCACCATGGTAAACCCATGCTTGGGATAGAGTGAAAAGAAACCATCCAGCACTTTCAAAAGGGGTCACCTGGCTGGAAGCCCCTACACTACCTAGGGATCTCCAGACAGGACACCCCTTTGAAGGTCCAGGATGTCACACTCTATGCGAAAAACACCCACGAGGAAAAAAGAATAACGTCACGAACGAAGGCATTCCTCATTGCACAGGCCAGAACGAAGGCCCAGAAGTCCCACTCGGAGTGTCTGGCCCAAAGGCTCCAAGAAGGTATGACTGGACCCTGGCACCCACCCCAGTCCCACCTTCGACAGCACTTGGAGCCGGGTGGGACGATATCTGATTTCTTTCGCTCTCAACTGTGGCACTCACAGCGTCCCTCGGCGACCGTAACCCGGTAGTGACTCGGCTGCTGACCGAGACATGAACGTCGAGGTGTGGAGAGGATGTGGGACATGCTGGATGCTGAACCTTGGACATCACCCAGGTTCTAGGTGGACGAAAGATGATGAAGATCTCTAAGGTTGATTGAGGTGTTTTCGATGGTCGTTCTATCGAAATGATTCTATCACTACAAAGTTTAGTTGCTTCCCCCAAAGTGGATGACAAAAAAGACACATCAACGTCTTGGTGTTCCTCTAAATGGGTCTGCTTTGACTCTAAGTGGACCAAGCTTCCTTCCCACCACAACGCCCAGCCACCGGGGGCAATAGCGGCACGCACAGCGGCACCGCCTCCCTCGAAAAGCTCACCCTCAAGACACACCCAATGCCAGAGGGCCCTGCTGTCCATCTCCCCTCCGAACTGATGGGAACTGCAAAAAAACGCTTCAAAACCCCTTAGACCCTTGATCCTCGCCTCCCGGGACTGGAGACCATCTCCCCACCCACCCGGGCGGTCGCACCTTTGCCCATCTTCCCGAGCGCTCGCCCGCAAGGCCTGGCGGGCGCCGCGAGGGGTACCGCGGGCGGAGGAGCGAGCGAGATGGTGTTCGTGTCGGGCTGGTCAGGGTGAACGGCTGAGGCCCAACCAAAAGAGCGAGACAGACAGACAGACAAACAGACAGAGAGACAGACAGAGAGACAGAGACACAGACAGAGACAAAGACAAAGACAGACACAGAGACAAACAGACAAACAGAAAATAAAAGGAAAAGAAATGAAAGAAATGAAATGAAAAGAAAAGAAATCAAACGAAAATGAAGAAAACACAGGAATAGAAAAGAAGAAAGGACATGAAAAGAAAGAAAGGAAGGAAATGAAATGAAGAGAGGGAACGACACGTTTTCGTGGTTAAAAGATGCCGAAAGGGGATGTTAATAAGTGTTTGGGAAGAGCACGATGAGCATGGGAGTATGGAAATGACATGGTCAGTGACCGTCTTTCAACACAAACCCCGACAGTGATTCGAGCCAGGTCCACCCCCCTTGCGGGCACGACGTACTGTCTCAAGTTGAGACTCTCAACATGTCCAATGTCTCGACACACCCCAAATGGCCTAACTGAACGGGAAAGAGACACCACATTCACTAAGAACTTCCAAGGCTGCTGAAATGCCAACTTCATCCTCTTTCATCAGGCTTCCTTGCTGTGCACGACCCAGGACCCCCAAAAACACTCTGCAACTCTTCCCTCCAAGCATGCCGTGTCCCCAAAACAATCACCGGCACAGAAGACTAGCACAACAGAAGACTAGCACAACAGAACACTGTTCCACCCTCCTCCGCTCCCCCCGCCTGCTCCAACTCCTCCAAACGCTGGGCACAAGTCTCGGGCTGCGCCGGATCAAAGCCGCAGACCACCGGTGTGCGCCTAGAAGCGGCAGAGGGGTTCATCATTGGAGTTGCTGGTGGATGGAACTGATAGAACCGGAAAAAAAAGTAATGAAAGTCGTTTCACGATTAACAATATACGTAAAGCATTTCCCCATGCAATTGAGGATTTACCCATCTAAGTTGGAAAAAAAAAAAAAAACACATCGCCCAATCCACAAAAAAAACGAATACCTAGGTATATGGTCGGTCGTTGGTTGTTCTTTTTGTTGAAAGTCTGGTCGATCGGCCGGTTCCCGACTCCTCAGACGTTGCTTCACCCATTGCTGCACCGTTTCCTCGAAATGCAGGTTCAGCCCCGTGAACGGGGCAGTTGGAACGATGGAAGATCGAGCACCACTCGTTCCGACTCTGAGATCTTGCAGTGCAAATGTCACTCTAGACTCTGAGATCTGGAGATGACGCAGATGGGGCTGGTCAGGCTGGTCATGTTTTTTTTGGTGTTGTTGCGACAGCTGGCATGTCATGTCAACCCGGCAAACCCAAATCACCAACTCCAAACGAGACAGTGTTTCACAAACATGATGATGTCTTTTAGCAACATTAAATGTAGAGAAAGTTACCTGCCATTACCTGCCCGTTTGGATGACAATAAATCCAAATCCAAATCACAAATCTCCACTTCACTGTTGAACAAGATTGAACAAGATCTTGGACATCCCGAGTCATAGATTCCATGCAGAATGATGCCCGGACCCCCAAAATGACCTTCCGGCCCAAAACGGCCCGGAAACCCTCCATATGGAGCCTCCCCCGACCCAAGCAATCTCTTCAGGGAGGCGCGGAGGGGAAAACGTCTGAGATCGAAATCAAAAGCTGGGCAGGAGATGCTGGGATTCCCCACAGAATGGAAAAACAACACCAAATGATCGTACCATGCCGGTGTGCATCTCGAAGAAACTCTTTCGCTGGGCAAGTTGTTAGGACGACAAAACCAAGACTTCACCTGTCATTGAATGGCTCACAAACGTCGAATCACCACAGCTCTCCAGACATTTCCCCCAGCCTCTGGGCACAAATCTCCGCGTACCTCTGGCAGTCCTCGAGTCGGTCTGCCTTTTCGTTGGATGAGACACTTGCGCAACCTCACACACAAAGAGTTCGAACGGGTGAAATCTGAGAGCCACCCTGGCCGCAGGCCACTGAGTTGAAGCTTGAAGTTTGTAATTAAGCAAGATGGCACATCTATGGCTGCACCTCCCACAAGTCACCAATCAGAAAAAGAACTTGAAGGACAGCAAACTGGGACACTTCTCAAGGTTTGACATGAATCCACACTGAGATCTACAATCTATCAAACATCAGGTCCTCTGCCAGGCGTTTCAGCAAGTTTTGAGCCACAGAGGTACCTCAGACTCGCGTGTTTGGGACCGAGAGCGAACGAGAAGCGCGATGAGAAGCTCTGGACCTTTTCATCCAAGTTCGTTGACCTGGTGCCGAACATGGGTAGAAGATGGGTGCCAAAGCTGAAGCACCTGTGGGTTTGTTGTGGGGGTTTTCTTCCATGAACCCTACGGCCGAGACCTCGTTGTCCACGATTTGACCGCTACGAGCGTTTTGCTTTTGCGAGGGACTGGACGGTCCATCGATTGGGCGGAAGATGTCGTCCACCGGCCAGGCCCAAGTGACTAGACCTTACAAATTGCTTGGGCCGGTCCGGGAGGAGAGTCAAAGTCCTAGAAATCCGGTCCCTTACTCGATTGGCTAATGGGAGGGGCTTTGCCAGGTGGTGACCGAAATCGAGTGAAGCAAGTACCAGAGCGATCGGTCTAGCTTGCCTGCGATCGGTTTCTCATGGGTTTCTATAGCTTACCTTGTGTGGCTGGACATGTTTGGTCGACCAAGAGCCCCACGTTGGATCGGATGCGTCATTGAGACACGGGAAGAAAGCGGCGGCTGTGGATCTGCACCTGGGGCCTACAAGCAAAAGTACATGAAAGTACTGTAATCTACTGAAACTGACATGTCAGAAAACCCGAAAAATCGAGACATCCTCCAAGGAAGGCCGACTTCTTCAACACAAGGGCACCTGGAGTTTCAGTTCGTACAAGTAATTTAGAAAAAGGGGGGTATAATGTTGGATCCTGATTCGTAAATGGGTCCTGAATAATGCGAATGTTTTCCAAAATTATTCCAGCCACCCCTATTGAAAAATGGGGTCTGTATAATGCTAACTTTTTTGGGGGACCCTAATTTGTTATCTTGGACCTTGATAAGGGTTTGAATTCCTTGTGAACCCTGTCCACTTGCACTCCCCCCTCCCTTCCCAGGCAAGCAGCCAGCAGCAAAGCAAAACACAAACAAACAGAGCACCAACAAGATGTTAATTAACTAAAACCCTAGCCTTAAAATAGATCTGTTCATGGAACTTTCTTGTACTTAGCTCCTGAGGCCAATGACTATGATTCATTGACTGAGAAAGGTTTCTCTAGGATTTCTTCAAAACTGACAGCTTTCCACACCCATCAATTCCAAGAGCAATCCTTTATGTGAAGATTGTTCCTAAACAATGTTTCAAGGTAGTAGACCAGGAAGGCACCTGATCCTCAATAATATATGTGTTAAAGGGGTCTCAATTGTGCAAAAAAAATCCAAAGGAAAAAAAGTTCTTTTTCATGGAATCTTCTTTTACTTAGCTCCTGAGGCCAATGATTATGAGTCATTGACTGAGATAGGTTTCTCTAGGATTTCTTCAAAACTGACAGCTGTCCAAACCCATCAATTCCAAGAGCAATCCTGAGGCTGCAAAGCAAAGGGCTTGCTGAAAACAACTACAAAGCACCTGAGAAAGGAAACTGAATACAATCTATGAAAGGAAAATGAATACAACATTGAATTGCAAAAGGAAGTCTACCAGGAATCCATAAATTTTGTGGTACTAGTTTATTGTAGAGACCCCTCCAATCGTTTAGCTAGGGGGGGAGCCCCTATTTACTAATCAGGATCCAACATTAAGCTCAGAATCAAGTAGTTCGTGTACCAGTAACTATACCTGCCTAGAAAAACCTATATACCTTCAGCTTCTCTACCTATATACGATCACGAGGTCCTGAAACCGGTGACGAGCATCGGGTGCAGGGATGACTTGAGAGATCGAAGGGCTCCGCTGATTGGAAGGCCTCGCCGAGCAGTTCTTGCGATCGACCCGGACCGGCGGCACGGCCAGGGATGGTGGCACGGTCAAGGTGAACAACAAAACGGCTGAGGTCGGTGACCTTGGGTTCAACGGGTTCTTTCGGCCGGTGATTCTTCTCGTTGGGTTTTTGGGTCGTTTTTGGTCCGCCATTCAGGTGCCGCGGTGGCCTGAAGGACGAAAAGCAAAAACAGAGAAACCTCCTTAAACCAACCATGGCCTGGATCTTCCAACTGTGCATCAGTTCTGCCTTTTGGCAGCTTTTTCATCAACAAGGCAGAAATGTTGGACAGTTGGAAGATCTAGGTATGAGTGATGTACAAAATCTCTGGCAGAGGGGCCGACCTAGGGCATGGTCAGCGGATGTCAGCGGGATGGTCAGCCCGGATGTCCAACTCTCATACGTCATTCACATGCTCACCAGGATGGTTTGCTGTTCATGTCTCTTGGACTTGACCAATCAATAAGTCGTGAGTCATGTCATACCCTGTCTGAGCGCCCCAAGGGTATCCCTGCAGTTCATTGTAAAGGTCTTTGCCCGGCTCTTGCGTTTCGATATCCGCTCGAGTGGGAGGGGGTCCGTGGTTTGACACCCCTGGACGGTGCTACGGTGCTGGTATGGCTAAACAACTCAAGTACCCCAAGCCAATGTCACATGCTCTTCATCTAATTGTGGGGATGACCAGAGCAGTGGGCTGCTGAGACAATCAGAACGTGTCAAGGATGCCGAACTTCTCCTGAAACGTGCCAAAATCCAAATGTTGGCTTCGCTCTAAAATGGTGTTCTCCATCCCCGGTCCATCCCCTATGATTGTAGAGGTTTCAGAATAGATGGCACTGGCACCCTAAGATGCATCTCTTTCAAGAATCGGGGTCCATATTAAGCCACCAAACATGGGCATGTGTGCCCTCTACCTCTGAAAGCATTCGACTGGTGACCGTTTTGGCACCCGTCTCCCTACTTGGAGCGCTTCATGTTCTTCCAACCGGATACCAAGGTGAGGACCTCGTGGGTCCACGAGACGAAGGCGTTGAGATCCAAATGCGCCAAGATCTCCTACGATGCGTTGTTTGGCCATCGAGACGATGGTGGAGGTTGAGACGATGGCAAGGTAGAAAGGGTGAGGAATGCAAGGTAGGAAACTTCATGAAGGTTCCGGTTCGGGTGGAACAACGACATGGGACGATGAAGGGGGGATGAATGGGTGCCTTTTCCATCGATTGCGGCCTGGGAATCTACCGTCGTGCACTGACTGGCAGGCAACAAACTCTACAACACTCCAACTCAGGCCTTGCACGTTGGGTTCATGCATTGCGGTGGTCTTGGTACAATCCCCTATGAGTGCGTCCGAAGTCGCAAGAAGTCAACCAAAATAAATACGCGTACCTAAACGCTACCCAAGTAAAAAAGAGATGACACCCCCAAATACAGTTCATGCAATATATATATATACTGTGTGCTTATACATGGTTTTGAAATGTTTTGAATTACTGCCCTCTCTAACCGCTCCCAAAACGACAAACATTGTCGATTCTGGTGGATTTTTGGTCAAAAAACGCAAATCGTGCCCACTATAGATAGAGCCATGCCGCATTTACCCACGCATGTGCACCCTTCCGAAATGGCACCAAGCCACGCGAGCGCACTGTCCACCGAGGCCGTGCAAAACCACATGGCACAGCGACATCACCGTTCGAAACCTTTTATTTGTTGGTCTGCTGACACGTTTACAAATGAAGAATATCGAAGAATGACTATTTTAGTAAAGGGCTTTTGTCAAGGGAAAACACGAAAACCCTTCGATCGGGCGGTCTTTGCAAGTTTTGATACGAGCATAGACGAGTCTAAGTATGTTTTTTTGGGGTTTTTCCT